AGAAACCCCATGAAGAACATGTGTTGAAGACTGAAAGGATGGAGGGTCACAAGGAGAGTTTTGAGACATCATAGGCAGAGTGACTTTGAATTCTGGGCTCTAACTTTTCTTTTCTTTTTTTGTTATTGAGGTACATTCTTTATTTCTAGTTCAATAGAGTGACACTTCTGCCATAGAGAATGTGACAATTTATTAAAATGGAAAATGACACATGGGGAGGGTGAAAAATGTACAGAAATGAGCTAAGCCAGGCAGATGGGAAAGGACATACCTTCAATATATAGGTCAATAAAGGTAAGTCAGCAAACACCACAATAGGTGGAGGGATGTAAACTCACTTGCTGAGGAAGGATCTCATCACACCCAAGGTTATCTCTGCACCCAAAACACATTCACTCCCTGGACATTCTCTCTCCAGTTCCTCAGTGTAAGAACTGGATTTTCTTACAGAATTCTTGGGATCATCACATTTATTTCCCAGACTCTGGAACCTTGAGAGATGTACTTCTTTCTTCTCTGATTACTTCTCAGCTGCACGTTGGGCCCGCCTCTGGCTGCCCCAAGCCTCAAAGACCAGAATCCCAAGGACTGTGAGGATCATGGCAGCAAACCCCATCCTGATGAGATTCTCCACTGTGTGATCCTGGATCTCTGAGGCTGTGGTTGTGGACAAAGAAGTTACAGAGGTTACTGATGTTCAAATTTCCTCAAGATAACTATATGTTCCCAAGATAACTAAATGTCCACCCAGGTCCCCTGCCTTACTTTGACAAAACCTGGAGCCTCTGTTTCCAATGTTATGACTTTAAATTTTCTTTGTCTAACTGTGTTGGGTTTAGGCATGTTCTGGGATGGACTGAAAATCTCAACTGATTCTGAGAACAGAAGAAGAGAAATAGGATGTGTGCATGCTTGAGAGAGCTGCAGGGTGTTTCTTCTGCATTCTACTTTCATTTATTGTAAATTCCAATAATTCTTATCCTAAAAGCTCATGAAGTCTTGAATGAATCTTTTCACTGTTATAGCTGGGCTCCCTCTCTTATTTTTTAAAAATACATTTATTTATTTGTTTGTTTGTTTATGTTATATCCCAGCTACAGTTCCCGCCACTCTTCTCAGTCACTCCTCCTCAGTTCCTCTGTTCTCACTCTTGAATCCACTCCTCCTTTTCTGTTTAGGAAAGGGCAAGTCTCCCATGAGTATCAACAACACATGATGTATAGTCAAGGTAAGACTGAGCACTTCCCCATGCATTAAGGTAGGGTTGTGGTATTGTATTCCCCCGAATATTGTGCATGCTAATAAACTTATCTGGGTTCAGAGACAGAGCAGCCACAATATTAAGGTTCTTATGACAAATTCTATTTGGTAGGGTTGAGCTATGGATGTGGATCTGTTTTGAACAGAAAAAAAAAACATAGCAGGATTTGTACTTACTCCACCAAGGCTGCCTCTTACCATAGATACACCATGAGTCATAAATAAACTGAGAGTAACTGAACTCTCTTTTGGGATCTCTGTTCACTCCCACATGCATAAGCTGAAGTGACAGTGAAATGAGAACTTTTCTGGCCTAATAGCCAGGAGCTCCATGAGTATGTAACACACTACATGCACTGAAGTGCCTGATACTCACCTGCTGTTGACATGGGCCTTGAGGGTGGCAGGCTGGAAGTTCCAAAGGATCCTAGGAAAATGAACAAGAGGAGAATAAGAGTTAGGTGAATATTCAGGGAACTGCCTCTGCTAACTATTCAACATCTGCTATGAAACATCCCCATGATCTTCATGCTGTCTGCCCCAAACCTAGATTTCAATAGAGGATGGAGTGGACACCATTTGTGGAACCTGTGCTGGCATCTATTTCTTTAGATAAGAAAATGCCTTCTGACTAACCTTCCTATTGTCCCCTTAATCCCACCCAATTCAAGGACTCTCTTACGGTTTGGATTTTATGTCACTCTGGGGGGTCATGGTCACCTCACCTAAGACAGTGAGCTCCACAGGGGCACTGGCATGTGACAAGAGGTAGGGAGATGAGTCTTGAGATCCATAGCACCTGTAGGTGCCTGAGATGTCAGAGGTCACAGCACTCATGGAGAATTCTGCCTGGAACTCCTGAACTTGAAACTTTGATTTTAGTGGCTGGGGTTGGTGGGCTGCTCCCTCCTTGGACAGAATGAAAGTGTCCACCTGGTCTGTTGACTGACACAGCAGGGTCACGTTGTCTCCAGAGTGTACTGTGGAGTTAGGCTTCACTGAGAGGGAAGGACTGAAGGGAAGCTGTCCTAAAGAGAAGAGGGGGGATGAGAGGCTGCCTTCAATTTTCTGAGCTGAGATATCATCTCATCTGTGCTGAGCTCCTGGGACTCTGTATCTTTTCTCTGCCTGAGGCCCTCTTTTGCTCCTCCATCTCTCCCTCTGTTCCTGCCAGGTGTCTGTCCCTCAAACCATCCATCACCTCCTTTACTCCCCTATGGGAGCCCATGTACAGGTTTGGTACTTGTGAGACTCCATTTAGCTGCTCACCTGTGATCAGGATGTCCAGGGGGTCACTGGAGGCTGACCACTCAGAGGAGAGGTTGTGTGCACCATAGCATCTGTACTGGCCTGTGATAGAACTTCTCACAGGGCCCAGTATGAAGCTGGCCATGGAGAGGCCAGCCTGGGTCCACTGGCCACCATACTGAGTGAAGTCAGCTCCTCCCAACTTGTACAGAACAAATCTGTCATAGTTGATATCAGAGCAACACTGCAGGGTGAGGGTCTTTCCAGGGTCCAGGATCTGGCCTTGATGAGTCAGCAATGAGGGCTTCTTGGAGAGGCCTAAAGGATGGTGACAGGGTAGTGATTGAGGGGCTGGTGGTTTTTTACCACTTATCCCTGCCCATCGCCTGGGCACATGTCACTGCTTCTTTTTAGGAGTCAGACTCTGTCTCAGCCACCAGGTTATTCATTTGTCACTGTCTACCTGCAATTACCCAGTGCAACAGGTCCATGACAGGTCAATTACCCAGTGCAACAGGTCAATGATGGGGCTGGCTCACCTGAGATGTGTATTTCCAGGGGTTCACTGGGTACTGACCAAAGCTGTGGGGTATGGTTGTAGTAACCGTAACATCTGAATGTCCCTCTGTGGTCTGTTGTTACATGATCTATAGAGAACAAAGCTTGCCACTGCCTAATACTGTGTATATACTGTGTGTTCTGAGAGCTGAGGAACTTCTGATCTTCCTTGGTGAGAACTAGTTTTTCATATCCCTCCCATGAGACACACTGGAGAGTGATATTCCCTCCTGAAGTCACCACAGGGCTGGACAGGGATGACAGCCTTGGTTTAATGTTATAGATTCCTAGGAGAAAAGGAGGCAGCCTGTTACATGGGCTTACACAGCCTCCATGTTTTCCAGGACTAGGCTGAGGGAGGGCAATATTCCTGAGAGCAGAGCATGGGGCTGAGACCCTGACTGTCCCCTCACCTGTCAACACCAGTTCCAGGGTGTCACTGGGCTCTGACCAGCCAGCTGAGCTGTAACAATAACAGCGATATTGTCCCCCATGTTGCTGTGTCACAGAAGGGATGGAGAACTTGGCCTTGTTCCCAGGATTCTCTGGGGTCTGTGTGCCCCAGGGTTTTTGGCTTCCCTCTTTATGCAGAACACATATTTCTGCATCCAGGTTCCCCTGACACCAGATGGTCATGTGACTTCCTGATGTAACCACAGAGCCTGGCTCAGCTTTCATTGTGGGTTTGTGGAGAGTCCCTGCAAGGACGTAGGACATAAGGAAGTGTGTGTATCTGACAGTGGCATGGAGAAAGTCTCACTTGTGGATGGCACTAATATTTTCTTTTAGTTAATTCTTCTGTCATACTATACATCCCAACAGCAGTCTCTGACCTCCCCTCTCCCCCAGATCCGCTGCTCTTCTATTTCCCATTTAGAAGAAAAGAGGCTTCCCAGTGATGTTAACTGAACTGGCATAACAGCATGTAAGAAGACTGGACACACCCTCGTATTAAGGCTGCACAAGGCAACCCAATAGGAGGGAAAACTATCCCCTGTGCAGACAAGAGTCAGAGATTTCCTTACTCCCATTGTTATGAGTCTAACAAAAACCCCAAGCTAGCCATGTGATGCTGGTGCACGCCTTCAATCCCAGCACTCAGGAGACAGATGCAGGGAGATCTCTGTGAGTTCAAGGCCAGCCTGCTCTACAGAGTGAGTTCCAGGATAGACAGGGCTACATAGTGAAACTCTAAAAAAATACAAACCAAAAAAGAACCCAAGGTAAAACACCACAGCATTGTGCAGAGGGCCTAGGGAAGACCCGTGCAGGCTCTGTGGTTGCTGTTTCAGTCTCTGTGACCCCTCAAGATCGTTGCATAGTTCATTCTGTGGGCCGTGTTCTCCTGGTGTCCTCAACCATTGTGGTTTCTACAAGACTTCCTCCCTCTCTTCTCTGGGGTATTCTGAGCTGTTTTGGATGGCACATGAGTTCATCCAGGATAACAGAAGGCCCCATAAAGATTCTTCTCTGTCCAGGACCTCCTGGGCTTTGCTGTCACTGTCTGCCTTGGATTCTGTATCTTGTATCCCATTCTCTACCATGCTCTGTTGTCAGAGGGCCCAGGAGCCCTGGCTCCTCACACACACCACATACCAAGACCTCCCTGAGCATCTGTATCTTTTCAGCATCATTCTAGGGAGAGGCTGCGGTTCCTCACCTGAGACCAAGAGCTCCAGGGGCTCACTAGGTTCTGACCACAACTGTGGTCTATATTTGTTAAAGCTGTAGCATCTGAATGTCCACCTTTGGTTGGAAGTCACAGGGCCCACAGAGAACAGGGCCTGGAACTGTCTAGTATAGAAGTTATACTGTGAGTCCAGTGTCCAGAACAGCCTCTGTGGTCCTTCCTTCATCAGTATGAACCTGTCATATTGCTGCCATGAGGCACACTGGAGGGTGACATTTTCTCCTTCAGTCACCATAGGGATGGGCCTTGCTGACAGGCTGGATTTACTGTAGGCTCCTGGTTGAGAAGGAGGAATCAGTTAAATGTATCAGGTCTCATTATCCTTCAGAGCTATGAGGTGGGGAGGGCACCCTTAAGAGCAGACTCACTTCTTGACCATGAAGCCTGAGGCTGGGGACCTTGTGCATTCTCTCACCTGTCACCACCAACTCCAGGGCGTCACTGTACTCTGACCATCCATCACGAGTCTGATATTGACAGTGATATTGTCCTGCTTGGTGATGGGTTATTTTTGAGATTGAGAATTCAGCCTTGTTCTTAGGATTCTGTGGATTCTCTGTGTGCCTTAGATATTGGTACCCATCTCTGTAGAGTCTGTATACTTTGGCTCCTGTGGTCCCCTCACATAAAAAGGTCACTGTAGTCTTCATGTAGACCACAGAGTCTGGCTGTACTGTGAGGACAGGTTTAGGGAGGGCCCCTGCAAGGAACAGAACATCTAGGACCCAGGGCAGCCAGCCTCAGATTGCAGCTCCCAACCCCAACCCTCCAGCCATGCCCAGGGGCAGCACACATATGTTGTTCTCCCTCCTCACTGCCCAGGCATGGCTGCAGGAATGATGAGAAGTGAAGGTCAGGACATCTGCAGACACTCACTCACCTGCCAGTACTTGGGTCCCCAGGTCCAGAGTCAGTCCTGGAAGAGAATTCCCTGTGAGAGGTTTGTCCCTGAAGCTTGAGCAGGTCCTCCCCTCTACAGAACCTCCTGAGACCCTGGGGTTTCCTGATGGGCCAGTGCTGGGATGTGGGGCAGCATCAACCCTAGACCACAGTATCCCCTCCCCATCTCCACATCTCACCCAGACGGAGCAGGGCTGTGAAGGTGAAGGTCATGGCATCTCCTCCAAGAGGCTGCAACTGTGCTCATGGGCAGAACTACAGAGACTGGAGGGACAGGAGACACAGGGTGTGGTCTCTGGAGGCAGGACACTCCCCATGACATGGTTGTACTGGAGCAGCCCCACAGGAAGGGGAAGTGCCCTCCTCAGGCACCAGGCTCTGACATCGCCAAGGCTGGTGCTAGATTAGGTTGTAGACTCTGCAACCAATTCTTTGTCTGTTTCATCTGTCCTCATCTTTGTTTGTGCCAATTGGAACTGATAAACTGACAGACATGCCTGAATATTACACATAAGAAACACAAATTTACATATGGGTTTGCTTTATTCCTTTCACACTTTTTATGTGAAATACTTCTTCGCATTCAAAATGTTTAAAGGTTTCTGTGAAGAGTCTCACTGTGTACATCTGCATGCAATGAAATTTACAATCCTCTTCCTCATAGTCTCAATGCTGGCTTACAAATGTGTATCTCCATTTTGGTTTTTTGTTCATTTTTGGTGTGTGTAGTTTTCATTACAACCTTAAATTACACTTGTTTATTTATTAAAGCTTAATTTTTAAAATTGCAATCCTTTAATAATAATAAATTACATTTATTTTCTTCCTTATGTGTGTATATTCGCATGTGCCACAGCACACATACAGAGGTCAGATTTCTTCTGAAGGCAGATTTCTGCTTGCACAATGTAGATCAGAGTCAGGGCTGAAGTTGGTAGCAGCACTTATATACTGGTTCATGTTGCTAGCCCAAAATTAACATCATCACTTTCTTTGGTCCTTCTGCTTCAGTCAAGAAATAATATTCATTGGGTCCCGAGTGTCTTGGGCCAAACAAGGTCTAAGCATTATTTGACTTTCTGGGAGAAATGTGGTGATACTTTGTTTGTACTCTAATAAACAAAGCTTGCCTCAAGATCAGAGGGCAAAGCCAGTCACTAGTTAACCACAGAGTCCAGGCAGAGGTGGCAAACAACTTTAATCCCAGCATGTGGGTTCTCACGCCTGTGATCTCAGTACTCAGGAGGCACTCATGCACTGGGGCTGGGGTAGAGAGAGGAACTGATATGGCTGGGCAGAGAGAAGAGTATAAAGCAGGAGGAGACAGAAGCTCAGCCCTTTTGAGGATTCAGTAGAGGTAAGAACTCTGTGGTGGTTGTGGCTTGCTCTTTGGTCTCTCTGATATTTCAGCATTTACCCTGATATCTGGCTCTGAGTTTTTATTAAGACCAATTAGAATTTTTTCTTCAGAGCACAGGTTGGTGATATGGCCACCCTTCTTCTTAAGGCAGATGACCACACAGGGCTACGTGTGTGGGCAGCACTTGTGGGCAGCAGTGCACAGCCTTGCTACAGTTGTATTTATGGAGAAACTGGCAAAGGGATGGATTTTTGATGCCACCACACAGGCACAGCACCAGATCAAGGGTGGGACTCTTTGTGGACCTTGCTGTTGGGCAGGGTGCAGCCACCCTCCATCTGATGGCATAAATACCAGCCACTACTGCTCAGATGGGATTCTGTCCTTGTCTTGGATCTTAGCCTTGCCATTCTTGATGGAATCACACACTGAGCTGGACCTTGAAGGTCTTGGTCTCACCCTTCTGGACTTTGCCAAAGACCTGTATGCTGGTGTCTGTTTGGATGCCTAGTTGAAGAGAATGAGGGCTCAGTAAAAATATTTTATTTCCCTTTTTTAGTGCTAGGGATTGATGGAAGGGCCTCCAATATTCTACTAACATTGAGCCATAATCCACCCTGAGCTATTTCTGATCTTACTTTCAATTTTCTTCATATGCTATCTTTTTCTTTTCTTTTCTTTTTTTCTTCTTCTTTTTTTGGTTTTTCGAGACAGGGATTCTCTGGCTTGTTTTTTGGAGTGTAGTACAAAAGCTAGTAGCTTTGTGCCTTTCCTGGAACTGGCTTTGTAGACCAGGCTGGTCTGGAACTCACAGAGATCCACCTGCTTCTGCCTCCCGAGTGCTGGGATTAAAGGTGTGCACCATCGCCGCCTGGTGCTATCTTTTTCTTATCCTTATGGATTAAATTATTTTTGTTGATTTGAGACAGGCTCTCTCTGTGGAGCCTTTGCTGTCCTGGAGCTGTTTGTATAGACCAGGCTGGGCTGGAACTCACAGAAATTCTCCTTACTCTAATTCCAAATGTTTGGATTAAAGATGTTGTCCACCTCACCTGGTGATGGGTTTAATATCTTAATTGTTTGAAAATGCCCTATCAGTATGTATTGTGTTTTGATGGAATCTACCCTCCCTCCCCTTCCCTTGTCCCTCACTGTCCCTTGCTGGTTCCCTCCTCACTGACCTGATTTTCTTTTTGATTCCTTCTGTGACCTGTTAGTTGTCAAAAATCCACTGCCTTTCCTTACACACCTAACTTTCTGTTCTCTTCCTCCCATGCAGCTCAATTTGTGCTTCCCATAGTCTTGGTCATATTTTCAGGGTAGACACCATTAAAGAAAACTGACTTTCCCTCTCCCAGTACACCTCAGTTGCCAATAGCTCTTCATCTCTGGGTGGGATTTTGTCCCCAACTCACATCTCCATACTCGATTTGTTCTGCACTGATATTACATAGGATTTATAGATGTCAACACAACCACTGTAGCTCAGATGTTCAATTGTTCTGCAGTGCCCAAAAAAGTGTACATTGTCATCATCCATCAGACCTAGGTCTTAAAAATTTTCAACCTCCTTTTCAGTAATGATCCTATGCTAGGAATATGTCACACGGGGAAAATTGTCTAACCCAACATCACTCAAAGGATGGTCCATGGCACAAACATGTCCTGTTTATCACATACAGAATGGGATAGAGGTCACTGAGTATTCTCCCAGTTTTGTTTCTGAGCCCAAAAGACTTCCTTAATTTCCTTTTTGTATCAATGTCAATATGAATAATTACCATCTTGTATGTCTGCCTGTGTATGTCCTTTACTACAACAGAAAAGAGCTCAGTTGGTAGTGTACTTGTTGTGTGACATTCTTAGATGTCTGTCTGGGTTTCAATCACAGTACTGCATAAATCTGATATTGTGGCTGAAGCTTTGACTTCAGCATTCAAGAGGCAGAGCTAAGAGTATAGAGAGTTTAAGAAAACTCTTACTATGCAGTGAATTTGGTGTCAGCCTGGGCTATATCAAGACCTATCTTCTACAAGGAAAGAAAAAGTCCCCTAGAGTATGGGATGAACATGATCAAATACATTTTATGCATGTAATTATCTTCATAGAAATAATGACAATATATTTACTATAAAGCCC